ATCAGTTTGTCTGACGATCGCAAAAGCGTGAAACCCAGGGTTACAAACTCACATCAATCCAACCAAATATGTTAGCTCTATCTCTGATATTGAGCGCTTTCTAATAATTACCGCGCATATAATATATAAATAATTATATATATATTATATATATATATATATATATATATATATATATATATATATATATATATATATATATAACTTGCTTATTTAAATTTGGCGCCCTAAAAAATGTGGTTGCTCAATGATGGTAGGGATGGGCTTATTTGAGAGGTTGGGGCTTAAATTTTTGGTTCTTAACGTGCGTTATTTATTTTTTTTGTTTATTTTTCAGGAACCCCAGTGAGCATCATGGATGGACGAAGTTGGAACGCGATTTGCTGTTGAGACATTTTTTTTAATTTAATACAATCGCTCAATCGTCGCAACGCGAAACATTAACATTCCATAGAACATTTCAATATTGCCCCCATTTCTATATATATATAAATGGTCGGCAGTCGATTGTTTCATGAGTAAACAACTTCAGGGAAACGGGTGATGTAAAGAAAAAAAAACCTGCCCCACACGAACCGCAAGGTCACCCCAAAACATTGACTCAGTGTATAGAGACGAGTGGACGCCATCTTACTGATATCATCTTTAAAACTGGTAAAAAATAAAATTTAAATGTTGAACTAGTTGCAGTTCAAAAAATTACATGTATCCCTGCATTACTTGTGTTTTAATTGATATTCCAAATAAACCGAAAAAAAAACTACTATTAAGACATTACACTATATTATTGAACTATATACTTAGTTCGAGACATAAAAACTGAATACACTTGTAAAAATAGAATACGTGGATTTAACACATCACAAGAAATATTTAAATAAAATTCTTACTTAAAATTTTGAAAAACTTAGCGTTGCGTCTTTGCTCGTTCCGAGTTCTTACACAACCGTCAATAATAGCAGATATTCAGAAAACATCATTCGGTCGACATACAAGTATATCGTCTCCAAGTTTTTGATTTTATAAGGAAAAAAACACATGCCTGATGATGAATAGAGGACTATTCGTAAGTACTAGCATTTTAACATTAAATAAACTGAAAACTACAGACATCAAGTTTATCGACGAGGATCAACTCGCACTATGGATTAACAGTATTTTAATGCATATATTATGTTTCTAGCGATGGATGTCGCCAATAATCGCATTAATACTTCTGATTAATTCTATATGTGTGATTATTTCTTTGTATAAATTATATATATATAATATTTATATATATATATATATATATATATATATATATATATATATATATATATATATATATATAAATTTGTCTCAAAAATTTACTCACACTTTAACTTTTTTTTATAATTGTAATTAATTAATCAATTAAAAATGGCAAAAAAACAACTTAGTTTGGAAGAGATAATAAATAATGAAATGTTACTGTGGAGCCCCTCCCACTACCATCGCGATGTACGAGCCTCACCTCGATACAGCTTTTCCAGACACATGAATTGGACGAAGGGGTACCATTGAATACCCTGCGCGTTCCCCGGACCTCACGCCCATGGACTTCTTTTTGTAGGGATATCTCAAAGACAATGGTTATCGCACCAAACCAAGAACAATTGATGCATTGAAATTGGAAATGTCGCGATATTCCTTTAAGGACCTGTTTCGTGTCGTTTGCGAATCCCTTTGTAAAAATCATCAAGCGTTGTCTGGACAATAATGGTCATCAATTTGAACATTTGCGAACAGGATTTCTTCCATTACATTTTTCTTCTGTATTCGAATATTTATTCCATTTTCTTTTATGTTCATAAATAAAGGTTTTCTCGCCATTCAAAGTGTCAGTACATTTTTGAGACACACTGTATATTTATACACACACACACATTTACACACACATACATATATATATATATATATATATATATATATATATATATATATATATATATATATAGTTGGTGCTACAAACATTTAAAACATTGTTGCTATAACTCATAGGGAACTTTATTGATTTTGGACATTAATTCTCTTATTATAAAATTTAATATAAAATAATATATATATATATATATATATATATATATATATTATTATTTTCCATTATTATTTTTTTATTTTTTGCCTTGATAAAACAGACCCTTTTGATTAACACTTTGTCAAAAAGTTAACGTTGACGAGGAACAGGAAAGACAAATTGTAACTTTTTAACCATTTTATACTCTTTTTGAAACCTCGAATTTTGTTTTTCGTCGTTAATTTATTTACAATTAAAATCTATTTTAATCGTCTTCCGATTTTCCCTCCTCATTCGCTTATTTTATCTGAAAATTAAATCCTGCTTATTAAACGTTAACCTTTTTGAGAAAAGTGTTAGTTGAAAAAGGTCCCTTCAAGGTAAAATAATGACGTCCATTCTATTTAAATCTATTTTCTTCTTCTGTGGGTACAAGTCTTTGTTTATATATATATATATATATATATTTTTAATATATATATAACCTAAATGTGAAAATTTCAAAAGAAGTAAACCAAATTGAAGGGTTTTTTTAAGCGGCTCGTCAAAGGGAAATTGGCTAAAATTATTTCTCTTTTTTCTTTGCCCAGCTTTTTTTCTCAAAAAAATAAAAAACTGGTTTGGCTTAAACTGGTTATAGAAGATTTTTACTTAAAATGCTCTATGGTTGTATTGAGCTCTTTTTAGTTAATTGTTTACTCGTGTCGGTTTTTTTTTTTTTTAAATTTTCAATTGCTGTATTATCTGTGCGATTTTTTTTGACAGACTTTCATGTTCTAATATCTTTTTTTTTAAAACCTTTTTTTCCTTCGTGATTGATTTGAAAAAATTCAAAAAAAAATTCGAGACAGTATAATTACCTATATATATATATATATATATATATACAGAGAGAGAGAGAGAGAGAGAATTCTTGGCATCATTATTTTTTTTTGAGTCGACCCTTTCAGCCAACACTTTCTCAAAAGGTTAACGTTAGAGAGCAGCAAGAAAATCAAAAAATTTATCGAGGTAAAATAAGGACGTCTATTTAATTCTATTTTCTTCTATAGGTACCAGTGTTATATTATATTAATTATAATATATATATATATATATATATATATATATATATATATATATATATATATATATATAATTTTATTTTGGGCAAAATCCTTCGTTAAAAAACGACTGACAAGAAACTGTGGTTAATTTTTTTTTATATAATCTTGTGTTCTATTTTTTTTCTTTTCTGGAACTATGTTCAAAGCAGCTATAACATAGGACCTGTACCGATTTTATGGAACTTTACAAGACCCACAAGAATAATGAAAATAAGAGAATTAATCCCTGTCGGTTGTAATATAACTTTTGAAGATCTTCAAAATTCTATCAAATATAAGGACACTGAAGCGGTCCATGCTTGTTTGGCACATGAAAGTATCAATAGTTCCATTTAAGGGTTTTGGCCTTGAATTTAAGCGGGAAAGGTCGAGATAGACTCTTAGTAGATAACAATGGCTGCCCATGTTTCAAGGAAATAGAGAAACCATTGTTACAAGTCAGGCGCTCACCCTACGAAGGGAATTATCTTTATAAAACACGTTTGCGCTTGTAATTTTATTTTGCGCAGATATGGAGCTGAAAGTGTCTTGACACCATTGCTGACCTGCGGTCTCCGGTTGGAACCCCAGGAAGAAATAAGTATTGAATAGAAATCAAAATAATAATAATAATAATGAGTTTCAAATGGGCGCAGAAATGCAAGTACAGTACAATACACCGGCTGAAACTGCAAAATACTTAAGAAAGACAGCAAGGACAAATGCAACTGACCAGATACAGAAGCGTTGGCAAGATAAACCGCTTCATGGCCAATACTCTGCCCGTACCAAACAAGCAGACGTAGACAAAACCTGTACCCATCCGTGGCTACGTAGTGCAGGGTTGAAAGCTGAAACTGAAGGTTTTATCCTTGCTGCATATGACCAATGCTAGGAATTATCAAGCACATATACTAAAATATTGTGTTAGCCCAAAATGCAGATTCTGTGATAAATATCCAGAAACGATTGATCATCTTGTATCAGGTTGCACGATATTGGCACCCACTGAATATAAAACCCGACATGACAGAATGGGCCAATATCTGCACTGGAAAATTTGCAACTTCTACGGGAAGGAAACTGAAAGAAACTGGTATGAACACCACCCAGACCCATTTACGGAAATAGGACTTGTTACAATTCTATGGGACTACACAATACACACTGACAAAACAATCAAGGCCAACCGCCCAGATATTGTTATTAAAGACCACAAACAAAAAAAGTGCCTCTTTATTGATATGGCAGTCCCTGCAGGCGGCAATATATCTTTGAAGATATTCAAAAAGCTATCACAATACAAGGACCTTAAAATAAAAATCTCAAAAATGTGGCATATGGGAACATCAACAATCCCTGTTGTAGTTGGAGCCCTAGGACTGGTTGGAAAAGATTCCAGTAGACTAATTGAAGGGATTCCTGGAAGTCCATGCCTCAAGGAGATACAAAAAAATTGTTCTGACAAGTACAGCCCACACTTTACGAAGGGCTTTTTTTATGTAATTTTTTTTTTTCAGTGGAAAGTGTCATGATGCTATTTCTGGCCTTAGGTCTCTGGGCGGGACCCGGAAAGAAATGTGTAAACGCCAGAAATCAAAGGAAATAATAATAATAATAATAATAATAATAATAATAACGACAACTCGAAAGACACATGAAAATGTCCCGATTTTCCTATTGTCATATTCTGAAGAATCTTAATTCTTAAGTTAATGATTGAAGAAGCTCATGGCGAGTTCTATGACAATAAAATATCCATAGAAATTCTACTGTCGCATCGTTAAATATCTGAGATTAACAACTTTAACAAAATATTGCAATAACGATCATACATATGAATGCTGGTCGTTGTTTTAATACGTAAGGGGGTACAAATGAAAAGATTTGGAATTGACAACTTTTTCTATTTCACTGAAACAGCCGATAAACACATCTATCTTCCTCCTTTTTCCTTCCTTCCTTCCTTCCTTCCTTCCTTTCCTTCCTTCTTTCTTCCATTCTTCCTTCCTTCCCTCTTCCTTCCTTCTTCCTCCCCTTCCTTCCTTCCTTCCTTCCTTCCCTCTTCCTTCCTTCCTACCTTCTTCCTTCCTTCCTTCCTTCCTTCCTTCCTTCCTTCCTTCTTTCTTCCATTCTTCCTTCCTTCCCTCTTCCTTCCTTCTTCCTCCCCCCCTTTTCCTTCCTTCCTTCCTTCCTTCCTTCCTTCCTTCCTTCCTTCCTCCCATCCTTCCTTCCTTCCTACCTTCTTCCTTCTTTCCTTCCTTCTTTCCTTCCTTCCTTCCTTCCCTCTTCCTTCCTTTCTTCCCCCCTTCCTTCCTTCCTTCCTTCCTTCCCTTTTCTTTTCTTCCTCCGCCCTTCCTTTCTTCCTTCCTTCCTTCCTTCCTTCCTTCCTTCCTTCCTTCCTTCCTTCCTTCCTTCCTTCCCTTCTTCCTTCTTCCTTCTTCCTTCCTTCTTCCTCCCCTTCCTTTCTTCCTTCCTTCCTTCCTTCCCTCTTCCTTCCTTCCTTCTTTTCTTCCTTCCTTTCCCTTCCTTCCTTCCTTCCTTCTTCCTTCCTTTCTTTCTTTCCCCCTTCCTTCCTTCCTTCCTTCCCCTTCCTTTTCCTTTCTTCCTCCATTTCCTTCCTTCCTTCCTTCCTTCCTTCCTTCCTTCCTTCCTTCCTTCCTTCCTTCCTTCCTTCCTTCCTTCTTCCTTCCTTCCTTCCTTCCTTCCTTCCCATTCTTCCTTCCTTCCTTCCTTCCCCCCTTCCTTCCTTCCTTCCTCTTCTTTCCTTTCTTCCTCCCCCCTTCCTTTCTTTCTTCCTTCCTTCCTTCCTTCCTTCCTTCTTTCTTCCATTCTTCCTTCCTTCCCACTTCCTTCCTTCCTTCCTTTCTTCCTCCTACCTTCCTTCCTTCCTTTCTTCCTTCCTTCTTCTGCTTTTCATTCGCTTTATTCCTGGCTTTCATTGCTTTCTTTCTTTGGTTTTTACTATTGCTTTCCTTCCTTGTCCATTCATCAATTTCTTTCTTTCTTTCTTTCTTTCTTTCTTTCTTTCTTTCTTTCTTTCTTTCCCCTCTATGTGTATTTTGCATGTTTTTTATTGCATATATTTTTACGCTTCCTCCTGTTTACTATTTCCTTCTCTTTCTTTTCTTTCTTTCTTTCTTTCGTTTCCCCTCATAACCCAAGTGGATTCCGACTTCTCCCTCCTTACATTTTGATTTCGTTACTTTTTTTCTCTCTCAAAAATCCATTATTTTATTCCCTCTACTCTTTCACCGCTTCGACCCTTTCTTTATTTTCTTCTTCCATAATCTCGCTTTTTATCCATTCTTCAGTTCCTTTCGTAATATATAATCGCCATAATTTCTGCAATTTCACCGGTTTGCTTATCATTTCTTACTCTCATCGTCTCCTATTTCGGCAATTACTGAACAATAGGATTCAAACAACTCCTCATCTTGCAAGCAATTCGTCGAAAGAACGCCATTTTGAAATGAAAATAATTTATTTGATTATAGGCCTCGTATTTTTCTTTACAATTTTTATTTTCTTTGTTTGTCCATTGTTTTACCTCTGGCCATTCAACAGAACAAGCACAAAGTATACAATTGCTGTAAATAGCGTTTAGAAATTTCCCACGCTCTCTATATCTCTCTCTTTGTTTTGTCTTTAATATATAAACACTCTAGAAGGTTTTTTTAATTATATATAATAATCGCCATTAACCGCTGTTTCGTTTCTATCGTTTCAATTATCCGTTGTCAAATTACCAAAACAAATTTTAAAGGATATAATAGTAATAACGCTATTTTATTTGTAATGCTTGCATTCATTCCTGACCACTGACAATCCCTTTCTTCCTCATTTGCAATGCATTCCTATAGTAAAACACTGCTAAAAATAATAATTCTACATATAATAGCCATATTCTATCAGTAATTTTACCACTGACAATCCCTTTCTTCTTCATTTGTAAAAACACTGCTAAAAAATAATAATTCTATTTATATTATTCTATCAGTAATGCTTGCATTCATTCCTGACCACTGACAATCCCTTTCTTCTTCATTTGCAATGCATTCCTATAGTAAAACACTGCTACAAAATAATAATTCTACATATAATAGCCCTATTCTATCAGTAATGCATGCATTCATTCCTGACCACTGACAATCCCTTTCTTCTTCATTTGCAATGCATTCCTATAGTAAAACACTGCTACAAAATAATAATTCTACATATAATAGCCCTATTCTATCAGTAATGCTTGAATTCATTCCTGACCACTGACAATCCCTTTCTTCTTCATTTGCAATGCATTCCTATAGTAAAACACTGCTACAAAATAATAATTCTACATATAATAGCCCTATTCTATCAGTAATGCTTGCATTCGTTCCTGACCACTGACAATCCCTTTCTTCCACATTTGCAATGCATTCCTATAGTAAAACACTGCTACAAAATAATAATTCTACATATAATAGCCCTATTCTATCAGTAATGCTTGCATTCGTTCCTGACCACTGACAATCCCTTTCTTCCTCATTTGCAATGCATTCCTATAGTAAAACACTGCTACAAAATAATAATTCTACATATAATAGCCCTATTCTATCAGTAATGCTTGCATTCGTTCCTGACCACTGACAATCCCTTTCTTCCTCATTTGCAATGCATTCCTATAGTAAAACACTGCTACAAAATAATAATTCTACATATAATAGCCCTATTCTATCAGTAATGCTTGCATTCGTTCCTGACCACTGACAATCCCTTTCTTCCACATTTGCAATGCATTCCTATAGTAAAACACTGCTACAAAATAATAATTCTACATATAATAGCCCTATTCTATCAGTAATGCTTGCATTCGTTCCTGACCACTGACAATCCCTTTCTTCCTCATTTGCAATGCATTCCTATAGTAAAACACTGCTACAAAATAATAATTCTACATATAATAGCCCTATTCTATCAGTAATGCTTGCATTCATTCCTGACCACTGACAATCCCTTTCTTCCTCATTTGCAATGCATTCCTATAGTAAAACACTGCAACAAAATAATAATTCTACATATAATAGCCCTATTCTATCAGTAATGCTTGCATTCATTCCTGACCACTGACAATCCCTTTCTTCCACATTTGCAATGCATTCCTATAGTAAAACACTGCTACAAAATAATAATTCTACATATAATAGCCCCTATTCTATCAGTAATGCTTGCATTCATTCCTGACCACTGACAATCCCTTTCTTCCTCATTTGCAATGCATTCCTATAGTAAAACACTGCTACAAAATAATAATTCTACATATAATAGCCCTATTCTATCAGTAATGCTTGCATTCATTCCTGACCACTGACAATCCCTTTCTTCCTCATTTGCAATGCATTCCTATAGTAAAACACTGCTACAAAATAATAATTCTACATATAATAGCCCTATTCTATCAGTAATGCTTGAATTCATTCCTGACCACTGACAATCCCTTTCTTCCTCATTTGCAATGCATTCCTCTAGTAAAACACTGCTACAAAATAATAATTCTACATATAATAGCCCTATTCTATCAGTAATGCTTGCATTCGTTCCTGACCACTGACAATCCCTTTCTTCCTCATTTGCAATGCATTCCTCTAGTAAAACACTGCTACAAAATAATAATTCTATATATAATAGCCCTATTCTATCAGTAATGCTTGCATTCGTTCCTGACCACTGACAATCCCTTTCTTCCACATTTGCAATGCATTCCTATAGTAAAACACTGCTACAAAATAATAATTCTACATATAATAGCCCTATTCTATCAGTAATGCTTGCATTCGTTCCTGACCACTGACAATCCCATTCTTCCTCATTTGCAATGCATTCCTCTAGTAAAACACTGCTACAAAATAATAATTCTACATATAATAGCCCTATTCTATCAGTAATGCTTGCATTCGTTCCTGACCACTGACAATCCCTTTCTTCCTCATTTGCAATGCATTCCTATAGTAAAACACTGCTACAAAATAATAATTCTACATATAATAGCCCTATTCTATCAGTAATGCTTGCATTCATTCCTGACCACTGACAATCCCTTTCTTCCTCATTTGCAATGCATTCCTATAGTAAAACACTGCTACAAAATAATAATTCTACATATAATAGCCCTATTCTATCAGTAATGCTTGCATTCATTCCTGACCACTGACAATCCCTTTCTTCCTCATTTGCAATGCATTCCTATAGTAAAACACTGCTACAAAATAATAATTATACATATAATAGCCCTATTCTATCAGTAATGCTTGCATTCATTCCTGACCACTGACAATCCCTTTCTTCCTCATTTGCAATGCATTCCTATAGTAAAACACTGCTACAAAATAATAATTCTACATATAATAGCCCTATTCTATCAGTAATGCTTGCATTCATTCCTGACCACTGACAATCCCTTTCTTCCTCATTTGCAATGCATTCCTATAGTAAAACACTGCTACAAAATAATAATTCTACATATAATAGCCCTATTCTATCAGTAATGCTTGCATTCATTCCTGACCACTGACAATCCCTTTCTTCCTCATTTGCAATGCATTCCTATAGTAAAACACTGCTACAAAATAATAATTCTACATATAATAGCCCTATTCTATCAGTAATGCTTGCATTCATTCCTGACCACTGACAATCCCTTTCTTCCTCATTTGCAATGCATTCCTCTAGTAAAACACTGCTACAAAATAATAATTCTACATATAATAGCCCTATTCTATCAGTAATGCTTGCATTCATTCCTGACCACTGACAATCCCTTTCTTCCTCATTTGCAATGCATTCCTATAGTAAAACACTGCTACAAAATAATAATTCTACATATAATAGCCCTATTCTATCAGTAATGCTTGCATTCATTCCTGACCACTGACAATCCCTTTCTTCCTCATTTGCAATGCATTCCTATAGTAAAACACTGCTACAAAATAATAATTCTACATATAATAGCCCTATTCTATCAGTAATGCTTGCATTCATTCCTGACCACTGACAATCCCTTTCTTCCTCATTTGCAATGCATTCCTATAGTAAAACACTGCTACAAAATAATAATTATACATATAATAGCCCTATTCTATCAGTAATGCTTGCATTCATTCCTGACCACTGACAATCCCTTTCTTCCTCATTTGCAATGCATTCCTATAGTAAAACACTGCTACAAAATAATAATTATACATATAATAGCCCTATTCTATCAGTAATGCTTGCATTCATTCCTGACCACTGACAATCCCTTTTCTTCCTCATTTGCAATGCATTCCTATAGTAAAACACTGCTACAAAATAATAATTCTACATATAATAGCCCTATTCTATCAGTAATGCTTGCATTCATTCCTGACCACTGACAATCCCTTTCTTCCTCATTTGCAATGCATTCCTATAGTAAAACACTGCTACAAAATAATAATTATACATATAATAGCCCTATTCTATCAGTAATGCTTGCATTCATTCCTGACCACTGACAATCCCTTTTCTTCCTCATTTGCAATGCATTCCTATAGTAAAACACTGCTACAAAATAATAATTCTACATATAATAGCCCTATTCTATCAGTAATGCTTGCATTCATTCCTGACCACTGACAATCCCTTTCTTCCTCATTTGCAATGCATTCCTATAGTAAAACACTGCTACAAAATAATAATTCTACATATAATAGCCCTATTCTATCAGTAATGCTTGCATTCATTCCTGACCACTGACAATCCCTTTCTTCCTCATTTGCAATGCATTCCTATAGTAAAACACTGCTACAAAATAATAATTCTACATATAATAGCCCTATTCTATCAGTAATGCTTGCATTCATTCCTGACCACTGACAATCCCTTTCTTCCTCATTTGCAATGCATTCCTATAGTAAAACACTGCTACAAAATAATAATTCTACATATAATAGCCCTATTCTATCAGTAATGCTTGCATTCATTCCTGACCACTGACAATCCCTTTTTCCTCATTTGCAATGCATTCCTATAGTAAAACACTGCTACAAAATAATAATTCTACATATAATAGCCCTATTCTATCAGTAATGCTTGCATTCATTCCTGACCACTGACAATCCCTTTCTTCCTCATTTGCAATGCATTCCTATAGTAAAACACTGCTACAAAATAATAATTCTACATATAATAGCCCTATTCT